AGCCTCGCTTTACGTAAAAAAATACAAATCAAATCAAAACGAAAATCCAATTATTTGCTTGATAAGTGGTAGAGAAGATGACATATTCCAGATAAATGACTTAAAAAGTGGGTTTGGTAATTCAAATCGAAATATTAAAGCTACATTCAGTACGTTGAGAAAAAATATAATAAATATTTACCGTTTTTATATGCCATCGGAATCTGATATCGTAAATCCTTTTCTCGTTCTTTATTCTAGCTATTGCTTCTGTGATAGACATAAAACTGTACCTATATTCTCATTTTATTATCCCAAAGATGTGGCAGGGTTTGTATTTAAAATCTTATGTTGGAACTGGTAAAGGTGATTTTAAAAGTAGCAAAAAGGAAAGATTTTTATTTTTAAGGATAATTTGTGCCATCTTTGTATTTGTCATAATAAGCTTGTATAAAAGATGATGATTACCTACTTAGATAAAGTGAAATACACCTCTCTTTATTTGTAGTTCAAACACGCAAAGCTTTTCCATGAAAAATGTACCTGCATTTTCAATCACACTTAAAAACCTTTATTAGCATTAAATCCATCAGAAATATCGACAGCCCTGAGTTATCTCTCCCGAAGGTCAGCTCATCCTTGATTCGAATTAGCCGGCGTGTGACGAGCGTAAGTTAACTAGAAAGTTACCATTGATACGGATAAACGCTTAATCTAATTTAAACTTTGCTGTCACCATGTTAAGGGCCATTTTTACCTAATGCTGGATATATTTTAGGCACAGAATACAATATTGTACAGTGGGTATGATTCAATAAATCTTATTGTTGCTAAATAGAGAGTATTTCTGTTTGACAACATAATTATTATTATGTATTTAAGTATGCCACTTGAAGAATTTTCAGTCTGTATTTATACAGTTTTTAACCATTTTAATACAGTAGGTTGGTAGAGCATAGTACCTAATTGTAGGGGCGCTGTTTTATACAAAATCAACAATCGAACGATATTTTGCTCGTGCTCAGGGCACAGTATTGTAGATTCAAGTCATGCTATGTATAGTAAAAGGTCAGGAAAATTAACCAAATGAAAATTTCACCATAAATCTCCGATCTACATTTAAAGCTCGTCCACTGGTTATCGTCAAATAATAGTAGCCGTAAACAGAGCTATTGTGTCAAAAGGCAGCTTTTCTTCTACATAATCCTGAGATCCAGGGCAGATATTATGTATGTGTAACGGCTTATGTGGCAATTAATAGCGGAGTATTTAATGAATCCAGTCATGTCTAGGTATCTATATGGATGATATACTTATACAATATTTTATCCAGTGAATACGCGTGATCAATGTTACTTCTTTTATTGTTATTGTGAGGACTGAGGTCACTACACCCCGGTGGTTAATTTTATGAGTCGTTTTAGGCGAATATGGCAATAAGCTGGCTGATGGGTTAAAGTGGCGTCAGAATCGAAGACTAATTTATTTTGTAGATTATTTGGTTAAACTAAAATCAAATCGCCAATATTTTTTACTTAATACTCAGAGATTCAGAATCCGAATTCAAGAAAATAAATATCTGTTATCTTATCAGTCGAATAAAAGGCTTTAATCGATGTAGTAAGTAATGTTATGCTAATTCAATTCAAAATATAGTACCTATCTATTCTTCAGAGAAGCCTAGCTAGACAAACATTTTCGCAAAAAATAAATGTCCCTGGTTACAATGAGTAGATAGGTACTAATATTTTACCGAACATAATAGGAATGTATTCTTTGGTATTACAACTTACAAAACGGTAGAACGTAGGTTATAAAATCCTAAACACAAACATTTTGTCCTGAAATTCCTAAAACGTGCAATATCGACGAGTGTAACTTAATACAATGCTTTGTTTAACGAAGCGTACGTCCGATCTTTACGATCCGTATTTATGGCGTTATTTACGAAATCTATAAACCCAACACCCTTCTATCGCGAGGGTGTGGATACAGCCTTTGGTACAGTAAGTGCAGTAAAATCATCATAACTTACTATGACGTAGACGAATATTTGTGTCAACTCGAAAATTAAGTCAAGTGATTTGTTTAGGTGTATTAACTCGATTGATTTTAGCATAGATATAGTCTGGTCCGTGAAAATTCTACGTGCTCACGGACCGGGCTTTAGCTGTAATGTTAGGCATCGAGAGACTGATTTTTAAACACTATTACAAAATAACGCTTAAAACTCAATTCAATCTCAAGTAAAGATTATGTCCTATATCTATCAAATCATCATCATCTAGTAGTTATCCTACTGATAGTTGGCCACCCAGTCAAAAACCTCAATGTATGTAAGTACCTAACGCAAAAGTTTCATGTCCTACTTACTGATTGAACAATAAAACACAGAATTGTTTAATTCCGTATCGGTAAAAACGCGAACATCTCTATAATTTCACTGCTGACTGTACCAAAGCAATAATTTGACGTCATAAATAATATCGGGCCGGTAGCACAGGCCGTTAATTCTCGAGCTCAGATTTAAATTGAGTTTATCTGTTAATCCAGGACGAGAAATGAATCGAGCCACCTGCTATAAGTAGTAAGGATTGTAAGGATTAATTATAACTTAGGATAATCATTAATCATATCCGAAAATTCTGAAGAAGTATGATTTAAATAACTCTGAGTTCAGATTGTGGAAAACCTTGGGGGAGGCCTTTATCCAGCAGTGGACGTCATTTGGCTGAAACGAACGAACGACGAACGAGTTCAGATATAAATCATCTATCAAAACGTATGCGGAGTAAAGAAAAGGTATTCGACAAAATACAGAACCTAGATTTTTTGAATTCCTCAGCTGGTATACTCATAATTAAAGAAAGCTACTTAAAAAATAAATCTTTGCTACCGCGATCCAAGTCAAGACAGCGCCATCTAGTTTTCATAGGGTCATCAGACCAATATCATTCTAGTTTATCGTCGTCTGTTATAATTTGTTATATTTATGTGGGTTGGAGTTATCAAGCGTCGTTCGGGATGCTGATCGATTGCCATCTCATAACAGCTGGGAGCGACTTAAATATTGTCCTATAAATAAAATATTAGTTACCTACATTCGATTGTGTTTTCATTAAGATTGCGCTTTATGGTCATTGGAGCAATATCATAATAACGTTGTTTATCGTCGTCGTCGTTATAATTTGCTATATTTATGTGGGTACGAGTTATCAAGAGCGTCATTCGGGCAGTGGCGTAGCTAGGTAACCAAGGGCCCTGGGGCAAATAAAAAGATGGGGTCCCACTACTATCTAAACTGGTTACGTTTTATCAAGTTTATTGACATTAGCTTACTCCTGATACAGCATTAATTTTAAGCTGTTCTCTTCTCTTCACAATATAACGCGCATCGATGAATAAAACGTACACATCCGTCAAATTGACAACACTGCCAACCCACAGAAATAATTTAGGTGAATTCCCTATGTATAACTTTCGAATTTCTCTCTATGTATTTATTTTGAAAATGGGAGATATTTTCAAAAGTTCAGTACAGTTGAGATTTTCTGGTAAGGATTCGAGGGCCCCGGGGCACTGTCCCGTCTAGCCCTTTAGTAGCTACGCTTCTGTGTTCGGGATGCTGATCGATTGCCATCTTATAACAGCTGGGAGCGACTGCTTATCGTGTCCATCAATTGCCCGCAATGACGAGGGACTGGGGATAATTTTCCCATGTTATGTATTTTACACCCGCACTGTATTTACTTTGGAAATTGCTTATGGTAAATCACGCCATATTTGTGTTTGGTAATCACCTTTTCCTTCAAATATTCTCAAATCAAATAATAAATCAAATATAGCCTGACCAGGAACATAAAAACCCTCGCCATGTTGCGGAAAACTAATGGTACTAATTTCTTTTAATGGCAACAGTAACTGAAAACTTCATTGACATGTCACCTTGCATGTCAGTCTATTGCTGTCAAAGTGTAAACAAACTTTATTTTAAATGTGCGCAATTGGTTTTATGAATTAAATTGCTAAAATATTTTTATAGTCGTGAAAGAAAAGTGGTTCACAATGTGTTAAAGTATTTGTCGAAGAGAAATACTAAGGGTTCGGACAATATTTTCATTGAATAATGTTTCCGACAAAGGTTGTCAAATTGACTGACATGTTTATCGTATAGTACAGTCCACTATGAAAATTAGCTGTGGTTTGTTTCAACTACCTATTTTAAAAGGGGTCCAGTAGCTTGGCCACCACGATCCTCGGGCCTAACACCAATGGACTATTATTTTTGGAGTGACTTGAAACGAGCTGGTATGCGCAGAAGAGATAAAAAGTGTAAACGTGTTACGTGAAAGGATTGCTTCAGCGAAACTGTGAGACAAAACGTTTATGTGTTGCGAAAACTAAAGCGAAATACCTACGCTTCGCCGTGCTAGACTGTGCCTTCATCAGAACGGAGGACACTTTGAACACTTGCTTCGCAGTACGTAAACTTTGTAAGTAGGAACTCATAAATAAATAATTAATTGTGAATAAGGTGATTTCATTTCATACTTCATTTATTAATTTGTAAAAATAGGGAACAATGTTATAAATTAATTAAAAGCCTAATAATTATTACGTATTTTTGACGGTCCTAAGCCCGTAAAGTAGAAACTGAGAGTAGAAAGGAAAATCTAAAATCAACTGAAGAGTATTTTAAAATAATTATTATGACTGGATAAAAAGGCTGGTACCCAGAGCCATAAAACATCACAGATTAATAAGAACTAGGCCACGCCCACTAAGTTTATTCCACTTGCACCTGTAGAAAGTGCGAGACAAAATTGGTTTATTCCAATTTGTACTGCAAAACCAAATTTACTAAAAACTCAGTGTATTTTCTTTATGGGAGTCTCTTGTTTATCTTAAATAATAGGTATTGGTCCCTACTTTTATCTCTGTGAATATGGCAAGAATGCAAAGTAACACGGTGTATACGCTGTCTATGAACAAGCAATACCATTTGATTGAAACAAACAAACCTTTGCTGGGCTTGTGGTTCTCATGCAGCTCTTCCTTGACGGCGTCAAGCCCGCCGTGCGTGTTAATAAAGTTGTAGATGAACTGGCGCGTGGCGTGGTCCTGTAGCTGTGTCTCGGAAACACCCGCCTTTGAGAAGAATGAGCGCATCTCTTCTTCTGGTAAGTTATCCACGTCGAAACCTGGGGAGATGACATAGATTGAGTACACTACAGGATTCAGAAGGGTAGTTGAACGGAAAGCATGATTGATTTAGAGTAGGCGCACACCGTTGATTTTTCGTCGGCCGATAGTTTAGTCGGGCAGTTGATCAGTATGGGCATATGGGAGTGCGCACACTACGCCGATTCGATTTGGCCGATTCTTCATACAAATTAAAATCAGGCACAACTATCGGCCAACTAAAAATCAACGGTGTGCGCCTACTCTTAAGGTTCGGCCAAACCAACGCGATCATACGCGATTAGACGGCATGCAGCGATGGCGATCAATTCACTTAAGTCTGGTCGCCATCGCTGCTCGCCGGCTGATCGCGTGTGATCGCGTTGGTTTGGCCGAACCTTTAGAAAAGACAGTGAGAGCTATCGTTTTTATAGTTAACGGGGGGCGTATTGTGAGTTTACGTCAAACACATTCGATGTCGACTGCGTAAAAAAGTGACATTAAATGTATGACGGATTGTACAGCGCCCCTAGCGGAAACTTTCAAGAACCAAAATCTTCATATATTTTTTTAACGCGCACGCTAGTGGCGACTTTTAATATAAACTCACACTAAGCCGTCAGATGGCAACACTGATGAGTGACAGAAATTTATTCTACCAGTGGTACCATCATGGTGAGTGCAAATGAGTCATATTACCGCTTCAGCGCTCATTTGGTACCGCTGTCTTAGCTAGAGTGACAGGACCTTACTCTACAGTGGCGCCAACTCGTGAAGACAAATACGATAGCCCCCATTATGGATGTTTGGCAATTTTGCTTCAGCGCTCACTAGTTGGCACCATTATCTTAGCTAGGGAATGACAGGACCTTACTCAGCGTTGCCAGTTTTTTTTTTCGCCAAGTCGGGACTTTGGTACTTTTTGAGTGAAAATAGCGGGATTCTTCCGTCAGAAGCGGGACATAGTAAAAAAACGTATTTAACCAAAGGTTTTCAAATATTTATCTTTTTATTTGACTTAAAATTACGTTTACGTGACAATAGATAGCAAAAGTAGCCATAGAAAATGTATTTTAGTAAAAAAATAATATTTTAAATCAGATTTAGTCTATCGTTAAATTCGTCTTTAGAATAAAAAAAGAAAAAAAATTAAATGTGAGTTTTATTCTTTAGAATAATATGGCGTTTCAAACAATAGTCTGGTGAAGTGAGTGCCTCTCTCTGAAAAGCGGGACCGAGCCTGTCCCGCGCGGGTCATTTAAATTTGATTTAAAAATCGGGACGTCCCGCCAAAATCGGGACGTCTGGCAACGCTGACCTTACTCTACAGTGGCGCTAACTCGTGAAGACAAATACGATAGCCCCCATTAAAGATGTTTGGCAATTTTTCAAAGACATATCGGTGTGATGTACGGCTTCATTGGTATATTACCTTTATTAGCGTCCCAGCCGACGTGCGATATATGCTTGAAGTCTTTCGGCATGCCGATGTCAGCTTTGGTCAGTTTCCTCGTCGGCTTCTTTTTTCCGGAGGCCTTCATAGAGTAATCGCCTCCTGAAACAACGCATCGTTTAGTTACAGATCATGTAATATTTTGTAGTAGCTTGGACCTTCTCTAATAATGCATGGTGGATCTAGAATCTCGATACAAAATAGTTTGTTTATATCATGGATCAGCTGCCCCAGCTCTTTAGGCAGGGGCGCATGCGCATAGTGTCAGCTGTTTAAAAAGTTGTGTAGTAAGGTAAGACAACAACTTAAAGAGAAATATCTCAGTAAACACCTATCACAGCTGTCTAGCAGTACAGTTAAAAGTATAACTCATCTCCCACTGCACTGGCCTTGCCGACGCACTCTTCGAGGTTTGTGTACCGATAACTTACTACTCAATAGGGATGTTTCCTGGGTCAAAAAGCAAGAGTTTTAATTAGTCCGTCAGTTAATTTATCAAAAAATACTCTACAGTATTTTTCACTTTTTCAAACTAATGAAAATTTAAAGAGATAAAGCGCGCCAAAGTTCATAAGAAGAGCCCGTGACGTCAATGCGTGCATAAAAGTTCCGCACGTTGTGACGTCGTGCGGAACTTCAACGCACCACAACTATGTAATTATTTGTTAGATTGACAAATAAAAATATATGTGTCCAATATTTTTTGATATTAAACATGACGGACTAAAAAATTTTTTTTAGGAAACTAGCCTATTTCAAAAAGAGCAGCTCGACCTGCTAGCGGTACGTAGAAGTATTGTCCCTCACCTCCCAGGTTGCCCTTGGGCAGCGGTGCGGGCGACGCTATTGTGCCGCGGCGCACTGTTGACAGTGTTGTGCAGCGATGAAATGCCTTAGTGCAGCACGATCTGCTTGGCAGTACTGATCAGCGTATCACTCACCTCCCAGGTTGGCCTTGGGCAACGGCACGGGCGCGGGCAATGCCAGCTATTGACGGCGCAATCTCCGACGGTTGTGCATTGATAACTTACTGAGCAATTTCTTAATGCAGCACGATTTGTCTAGCAGTACTTTTAAGGGTATAACTTACCTCCCAGGTTGGCTTTGGGCATTGGCGCGGGAGCGGGCGGCGGCGTGTGCGCGACGCCATTGTGCCGCGGCGCCCTGTTGACAGTGTTGATAGTCGAACCGCTACTGGCGCGAGACTGTTCGACGACCACTTAGCGACTACATTGCCTGTCTAGTAGTGACATCTGGAAGTCTTTGTGCATAGTACTGTTGTCACTCACCTCCTAGATTTGCTTTGGGCATCGGCGCGGGAGCGGGCGGCGGCGTGTGCGCGACGCCATTGTGCCGCGGCGCGCTGTTGACAGCAGTGTTCGACGACCACTTAGCGACCATGTTACCTGTCTAGTAGTGATATCTGGAAGTGTTTCTATACAACATGTTGTCACTCACCTCCTAGATTTGCTTTGGGCATGGGAGCGGGCGCGGGCGCGGGCGGCGGCGTGTGCGCGACGCCATTGTGCCGCGGCGCGCTGTTGACAGCAGTGTTCGACGACCACTTAGCGACCATGTTACCTGTCTAGTAGTGACATCTGGAAGTGTTTCTATACAACATGTTGTCACTCACCTCCTAGATTAGCCTTGGGCAGCGGCGCGGGCGACGCTATTGGGCCGCGGCGCGTTCTTGACGGTATTGTGCAGCAATGAAATGTCTTATTGCAGCACGATCGGCTTGGCAGTACTGTTCAGCGTATCACTCACCTCCAAGATTAGCCTTGGGCAGTGGCGCAGGCGCGGGCGACGCCATTGTGTGTCTTAGTGCAGCACGACCTGCTTGGCAGTACTGTTCAGCGTAGCAGTAAATAAGCTTATCTTACCTCCCAGGTTGGCTTTGGGCATAGGCGCGGGCGCGGGCGGCGGCGTGTGCGCGACGCCATTATGCCGCAGCGCGCTGTTGACGGCGGTGTTCGACGAACTGCTGTTGGCGCGACTCTAAATGAATAGTCTGGTGATGATGAATGTTGTTCCTTACCTACCAGATTGGCCTTGGGTAGCTTCAGCTCTGCACAGCCTGTCTAATTACACAGAAGTCTTTGTGCATAGTACTGTTGTCACTCACCTCCTAGATTTGCTTTGTGCGCGACGCCATTGTGCCGCGGCGCGCTGTTGACAGCAGTGTTCGACGACCACTTAGCGACCATGTTACCTGTCTAGTAGTGATATCTGGAAGTGTTTGTATACAACATGTTGTCACTCACCTCCTAGATTTGCTTTGGGCATGGGAGCGGGCGCGGGCGCGGGCGCGGGCGGCGGCGTGTGCGCGACGCCATTGTGCCGCGGCGCGCTGTTGACAGCAGTGTTCGACGACCACTTAGCGACCATGTTACCTGTCTAGTAGTGACATCTGGAAGTCTTTGTGCATAGTACTGTTGTCACTCACCTCCTAGATTTGCTTTGGGCATCGGCGCGGGAGCGGGCGCGGGCACGGGCGGCGGGGTGTGCACGACGCCATTGTGCCGCGGCGCCCTGTTGACAGTGTTGATAGTCGAACCGCTAGTCGCTACTGGCGCGAGACTGTTCGACGACCACTTAGCGACTACATTGCCTGTCTAGTAGTGACATCTGGAAGTATTTGTGCATAGTACTGTTGTCACTCACCTCCTAGATTTGCTTTGGGCATCGGCGCGGGCGCGGGCGCGGGCACGGGCGGCGGCGTGTGCGCGACGCCATTGTGCCGCGGCGCGCTGTTGACGGCGGTGTTCGACGAACTGCTGTTGGCGCGACTCTAAATGAATAGTCTGATGATGATGAATGTTTTTCCTTACCTCCCAGATTGGCCTTGGGTAGCTTCAGCTCTGCACAGCCTGTCTAATTACACAGAAGTCTTTATGCATAGTACTGTTGTCATTCACCTCCTAGATTTGCTTTGGGCATCGGCGCGGGCGCGGGCGCGGGCACGGGCGGCGGCGTGTGCGCGACGCCATTGTGTCGCGGCGCGCTATTGACGGCGGTGTTCGACAAAAGGTTACCAAGCACGATGTCTGCCTAGTAATGACATCTGGAAGTGTTTCTATACAACATGTTGTCACTCACCTCCTAGATTTGCTTTGGGCATCGGCGCGGGAGCAGGCACGGGCGCGGGCGGCGGCGTGTGCGCGACGCCATTGTGCCGCGGCGCGCTGTTGACGGCGGTGTTGGATGAACTGCTGTTGGCGCGCGCTGCCAGCATCGACCGCTGGCGACGCTCTGCGGACAGACGCATAGTTTTAGTATTATTATTGTAATGGTGTACTTGCGTCTTGCACCTTCGATGAACAATACCTAGGTATCGGGTCATCGCAAACAGTACGTCTCGGGAAATAAGCAGCGCACTTGAGAACTTTTATTGTAATTAATCTCTTTTAGTTGGTATTGTTGATCGAAGACTTGTACCAAATAAATATTTTTTCTATCTTTATTTCTTTCATTGGAAAATAGATAAAAGGACTGACTGATCTATGAACACACAGCTCAAACCACTTAACGGATTGCGCATTGCATTCGTTATCAGGATTTTACAAAATTTATCCACTAAGCCCTAAGGGGAAGAAACTGGAGTTCGAAGGTTAAAGCGAGCTATGTCTATGTGTAGAACTGCACTACTGGACATAGGTCTCTCCGCTTTACCGTCTTATCTTGTCACGTCCATCGTCTGTTTAATCTAATGCCATGGCTATACGATTAGCTGCTCGATAGATTGACGAACTCTGGCTAGATGAAAAAGACAAGACAATAGTGCTTAATGGCGTTGCAGTGGACTGTCATAGTCCGAAATCACCCTATTAGATACAGATTGTGTTAATAATGCCATTTTGTATAGGAACTATGACATAGTAGTAGGGCGGTATATGAAAACTAACTATCGTACAAATAAACTTATTAAAATATAACACGACACAATATAAGCCTAGAAAGCAAGTTATGAAAAAACTATGTACTTAGGCATTTTTGCATTCATAATAAAAATGTGTCTAACTTATTAATATTGTTACATGTTATTCAACCAATTCAATAAGAAGTGTAATTTTTAACAAAAAGTGCGTTTTTATCGTAACTTTCGTGCGTTTGGTACGTAACGTCCAGCCTATACAAAATTATGAAAAACTCAAGTACATAAATTGCGATTGAACTAAAATGTAAGGATGAAACTTTGGTTCTGAAATCTAATTTACTCAACGATGCACATTTCAATAGAGCATATTTGACGTAATGAATTACATAATGCAATTAAATATTTTTCTAAGGTTTCGTAATTTGTGGAACAAAAGAAATAAGAATGTAGCTGTTATATTTGATTAAATAGTAAATAATTCAGCGATCGTGTCCGACCTGATAGGTTATTGTTTCGTTTCGCCACGGCTGATATTAGTTATTGACCTACAAAAGGCGGTCGAACTCCATAAGGTTAATTGAACCGTTGACTTAGATTGATATCGATTTCCCCATTAGTGCCAGAAATATTTCATCTGAACCAGAAACTCAAATAATATTGTTAAACAACATAATAATGAAAACAAATGTTTTTGTATTTCGACAAAAATATCAGCCAGCTATAAGGCATTGTTATTGCATTGATTAATGATCGTCTTTTCACTTGATTTTAAGTTTTTAATGCCTCTCTGATGAAAGGAAGTCGTGAGGGGATCGGAACAATGCTATTAAAGTGAAAGTCCAAAAATCTGTTAGGAATCTACTATTATATCCCATTACATGACAAGAAAAATAATAAGGGTTAGTTGCACCACTTTATATTAACCGTGACTATAACCATAACCGGTGTTTTTGTATAGAGTTTGACAGACTTCTGATGTTTATTAAAATTAAAGTAAGATGGTGGTACAACCCAGCCTAAGAGTGCAGCGTTACTCTTTGCACGGTATAATAGAACATCCGTTTGAGAGAGGTTTCATTTGGCTTTAGCAGACTTGTTTTGTCTTCGTTTGTGATAGCACTCGACCTCGGTAGATTGATAGCAGCAACAAAAACACATGTTTTCTGTCTAATCGCTCTGCGATAGTCATAATAAAATATCGCCGCATTCATTTGTCACCGCGTTCAGTCTGTCTCCTACAGGAATTACGAGGTTGATATCCAGACAGGGTCAGAACAAAGCGCGAGTGTAACAAAAACCGGACTTTAATCCCAAATCAAGGAAAGGCTTAGCAACTTGTTCGGGTGCTAACTACTTAATCTGTGGGCGCCGGTAGACGGCAATTCGCAATGTCAAGGACATCACGCGTTAGCAACCTTGCCGGACTAGTTGGCCGTTGGGAATTTCATGGTGCGCCGAATCGATCATTTGTATTTATAGTTATTTGAAGTGAAAGAATAATTTAGTGTTGAGGCGTGTCTAGGTGGTATTAATTTTTATTTATTTATTTCCAAAAGCGGTTAATTTGCTTTAAGAACGGCTTCTATTAGCACATAGATACGCTTTTTATTTAAACTACAAAAAGTAAGTAATTATGTGCAGAAAATTACACAAGTAGGAAAAGCACAGCAGAGATCTTATCACTAGCAAGCGAGCTCTTCGAGATTGGCAGAAAACAGTTACGGGACTATTCCCGCCTCTCGTTCCCACCCCCACCACTGCAACTCCTGTGTAGCCAGGATCTACAGCTTGACCGCCACAAAAACCCAACCAATTAAGGCCAAGTTGAAAACAGTTCTTTAAAATGAAAGGGGTAGACGGATATATTAGTTAACTATTACATTAGTTCTACTGCGATGAGTCGCGGCTCGTCCGCACAGAACCCAGAACTTTTGCAACTTTATGTGCAGTAATAATAAAACCTAAATAGTTCATAATAATTAGAGAGCGGAAATATCTGACACTAACTCGAGGAATGAGGATATAATCGGGTATCTCCGTTACAACGTTCGCTAGTTTTATTTTAGTAAGTATTATAGTATTGATACCGGAAAAGGAGGCAGGAATCTACTCGTTTGGATTATTTGAAACAAAAAAAATATGGGATACAAGCCGTGAAGAAGAATATTTACCATAAGTCATTGTCAATGGTTACACTAATCATAATCTCTACATATTATACGATTTATACAAAACAGCGCACAATATTTAATACAATCTTAATCATAGATTCTGCCCTGCTGTGGTTAGTCTATATGTTGAACAAGTTGAAATCCAACTAATCCAAAGTCAATTTATGCTCAAGTATGAATCGAATTCGTAACACCTTTCTGTATTACGAACATGTCTCTTTTGTATGTTCAACATGAATCTACCCAACTATTCCGGAAGAATAACGATGATTAAATCAGTTGCGTCTCTGATGAAAGTACCAGATAGTAATCCAACAACTTCACAACATTGTGCCAGTTTAAATTTAGCTCGGCAGTTGCATTCCCACAAAGAAAGTTATTTAGCGTGGACGTAGGCGTAATCTCTGAACGTCTTTTGGTGTGCCGAATGAATACATGTAAGGGACTGCGAATAGGGAAACAGTTTTTTTGAGGAAAAACAGGTCGTATTTCCTGGTGCATTGGGTTAAACCTATAATATTATCTGAACCAGAATTTTAAGAAATTCGTCTATAAAATTGTCCAGAAAATTTTAAATTGTGGTTGATACAAAAGAATTGGAGATCGCAGTTTAAAAGATTTATGTTTGTCAGAGAGCGCTGCTGCCCGTTCTCTGTTTGATGTGTAGTCCCTAAGTCTCCAACCCGCCTGCCAAGCGTGGGGATTATGGCAAAACCCTCTACTATAGTGGAGGAGGCTCATAGTCCAGCAGTGGACTGTAAAGGGCTGTTGATGATGATGATGATGACAAAAGAATTACGGGGAAACATCACTAGACGAATTTTTAGCATTATTAGTCATCACATAAATCATCATGTTATTCACAATTATAAATCTACCTCTATAATGATGATGAGTAAGTAGATGATAATAAACAAATAAGATGAAGAAACATTCACGTTTAAATAGAGAATCCAATAAACCTCCACAAAATTTTCAAACATGTACAAAAAGTTAGACAAGTGGAATAAAGAAGAATATAGAGAAAATACACCAGTCACCACATGGGCTGTCACACAAGCCAATAGACCATTCTCTAGAACTTTCAGTAACCTCTTCCTATCACCGGTCATAATATTATAAACATTACAATTCATTATCCGAATAGATGTAACCGTGACGTCACTCGGCGCATACGCTGAGCGATGATTAGCGTTTGTTTGTGCGCGCGCGCACTGTTAGTAAACAAACCCGCGGGCGAGAAATGTTTCGGTTCCATTCAAAATGCCTGCGGTGTATCTCGATATCTGCAGGTTAGATAAAGTTCCGGAGGTGATGAGTCACGGCCGAAAATATTGAAATTAGCTGGGCTCTCAATTACATCGACCTCGATCGAGGTGCGTGGGTGTGGGTCTGGCTTGGAGGGTCAATCTTTAAAACACTTTATTCAATTACTCATTCATTAGTCGCTATCAAAATCTATATTTTGTCACCAGTCGCATTAACTCATGTCTAGGTCAAGTCACATATCATGATATCATATTGCATATGCAAGTGAAACCGTGATAATAACATTGACCCAGAAAGTCGAACGACTTTGAATAACACCTAGTACTGCCTTTTTTGGTTTTAGGGAAGGAACGTTGGAGAAAGGACATTCGAGGAAAGGAAATATGCGCTGAGAGACGGGCTTGATAATGATAGATAAGTGACGCTAAGATTCGGGGTTTGACAACGCAAAATTTCACTTAGTAGCGACTGCGAATCCCTTTTTGGGAAGGACAATGTAGAATGAGCATGTATTAACGTAAGGCACAGTAAGTCAATCCGAAACGGCAGTGGCGCTCATAGCCGCAAATGTAATGGTCCTCGAGTGTCGCCACCAGCTATTCTTCTACTGAATTGCGTCACACCACACCGGCAAATTGGCCAGGTTACCATATCTGTCACATAATAACGCCCGGCGTTAAATGTGTTACGAAACAATCTTTCGATGTTGTAGGGTAATGAGGTAAAATATTACTGAAAGCTATCAAGCCAACCGAAAAATTCTTCCTACACTTAACTTCCTCAAAACAAAACAAATATAATGTTAATTACATTGTTTCTACTTGTAGATTGTAATACAATTACATATGTATAAAAATAAAAAGCATTTTTAATCGAAACTAAAGAATCAGAATAGGTGTAAAATAGGTATGTTTATCTAATGCACTCTCTCTTTCCTTTTATAGAGGTAATTAAGTGGCAAATATCACACACCCATTAAAACTTTCAATAGGATTTTAATAGGGTGGCATAAAGTTACATGATAGAGAGTATATTACATTATATAAAATGTATATTTAGGAGCTCGTGGTATCAGTTAACTTTAAGGCTGTGTATATGTATTACCACAGGACCGGTCTTTGTGGAAATCCTTGAGGGAGGCCTTTGTCCAGCAGTGGACGTCTTTCGGCTGAAACGAACGAACGAACGATGTATTACCCCAGAATAATACACTACATATAAGAGGATAAACCTTTAATGAAATATGACAATACGTCATTATTGCATCTGCATTGTGAGATTTGTGAGGCAGATCATGTTTATCCACAAGGCAGAGTCAACCATTGTGTAAAAGAGCACATAGAGGGCATAAAAACGAACAGTTGTATAGACAAAAGTTGACATACCATGGCCCATGGGGACCCGAGAAAGCGTCACCCAGATTCGGACTATGTTACAGGACTCGACCTAAAGAAACTTTACATTTTAAAATATACTTTAAATCTAGACTACTTATATTTAGGGATAGTATAAATACCTTCTCTTCTCTGTTTTCGGAGCTCGATCTTTTCGATAAGTATATTTCTGAGGACTCTGGCTTCATCTTCGTTTGCGAAATTGAAAGCCGTCATGTATTCCTGCGAATGAAATAAACTAATTAGGTTTTTGCAAAACAGGTTAGCTACTTTCATTTTAATGTCGATGATTAAATTAAGTTGAAGGGCGTTTGAGCGGCACTTTGGGGCAAAGAAGGCGCCTCAAAGAATGATTCAGGTATCGTGCTGCGAGATACATAACCGGTAGTAAATAGTGGTCTGGTGTGATAATTATGTAAGTTTAAACTGTCCAAACTTCTTACCTCAGCTTCGAAAGTATGCAAGTAAGGCCGCGGGCTTTTATATTCTATCTGCATGTACACCTCATGTTCCCAGATCATGGTCTTCCGGTACAGGCAGTAGATTCGAAAGAAGTAGGAGCGCTTCGCGTTGTCCTTGACTAGACACAGCACCCCAGTGTCTTTTTTCTTCCATTCTGAATGTGCTGGGCCTTCTGTTGTGAAAAGTTGCACCACAGCTGTTGCTAAGCTCTGGAATAAGAAAGGATTTGCCAGATTACTGGGTGTCAGGAATAAAAAAGGATGATTTGGTTTGATCCCACTTGGCTCTAGTCTTGCCATGACGTCACATCGACGCTCTGATACGGACGGGGCGATCGCGGAGAGGTCTACGGGTAAGTGGGAGAAAGAGTCGCATTTCCACGAGGTAGCTCGACCGGGTTGCAGGTTCAATAAACAGTTTTTGAAACAAGCTGTTCCCAAAACTTTGGCGTTAAGCTTTTTGAATGCGCGCGCGCATTCGCTATAATTGGATATCAATTTTATATTATTATTACGTCCAAGTCTCATCTTTAATGTATTGGATTCAACTTTGGTATAGTGGCATTAGTGCAGGTTACAGTGCATGACCGAGGTATAGGCAACAAGCGGCCGGTGGGCGACGCTACCAGCTGAGTTCACCGCGAGGCACGTTTCATAGATTCAAAGTCAAGACAGTCACGCCGATAAAGTACTAATTATTAGTTTTAAAAAAACATATGAATAAAAATGTTATGTTTATTTAACTAATAGCTTCATATGAAGTACCTGTGGGTGGTGGCACCATAATATTCTTGTCCCAAGATTAATTACTTACATCAATTAAGTCATCTGTATGTTCTAATTACCCATTAGTTCACTACACAAAACAGGAAATTGTTAAAATTGAAATTATTTCCTTAAAATCTTATTTAATATTTCATACATTATTCAATATGTTAAGACATTATGTAGTGTACAACTTAATGTAATGAATCATTTTTAGGAATGATGATTCACTGATTTTTAATTTATATAAAAGTTGCTATTTCTAAGAACAGTTAAATGTTAGAATGACTTTTATCAGTAAGTATCAAATATCAAATATAATTTATTTGCATTAAATAGGGTTTCACAAAGTGGGTGTTATTACATTTTTAAGTTATTGTACTTATGCCTATTTAGCCATACTTAATTACAGCATGCAAATTTTAAATTTTGTTTATTATATATATATATAATTAATTAATTAAAATTATAATTTATTTTATTACAATGTCTTATTTTTAAGAAAATCTCCTATGGAGTAAAAACATTCCTCTATTAGCCACTTCCTCAACTCCATTCGAAATCTATTAAAAGGGAGTAACTTTATTCTCTCAGGAATCTTGTTAAATATTTTAATGGCCATCACATAACCATTATTATTAAACCTGGTCGTTTTTGGTAAAATTTCTAAAGTAAGCTTGTTGGGGTTTCTCAAACTTCGGCTCGTTTTGTCTTTTGACTGTTGAAACAAGTGTGTATTTTGTTTTACAAATTTTCCCATTTCTAATATATAGATACATGGAAGCGGCAAAATGTTCAACGACTTAAAGAAAGGTCTACAAGAAACGTCCGGTGCTATGTTACAAATGGCTCGTATGCATCTTTTTTGTGCAACAAATACTTTATTTATATTGGTACCGTTACCCCAGGTTATGATCCCATACCTAATCGCAGATTCTACATAAGCGAAGTATGCGGTGATAGCCGTCTTTTTACTTGCTATTTTTGTCAGGCGGTATAGAGCAAACACAAACTTATTTACTCTTTCGAAGACACTATCTATTTGGTCTTTCCATGTGAATTTTGTATCCATGATGATACCCAAGAACTTCACACTGTTAGCGCACGTTATATTTTCGCCCATTATATTAAAATTAATAGATTGATTTATAAAATTATTGAAATTAATTATATTTGTTTTATTAAGATTGATTTGTAAATTATTTTTATTTAGCCAATTTATTATAGATGTCATGGTATTAACTATGTCGGTTTTGTGTTTTTCGAGTGTACAGTCTTTTTCACTGGAAACAATAAGTGAAATGTCGTCAGCAAATAATGTGAATTTATATTTTGAAATATTAATAATGTCGTTTATGTACAAGAGAAACAATAATGGACCAAGAATACTTCCTTGGGGTACTCCATTTCTGTTATATGTGAAGCAGGATCTGTAAGTCTGTGTAGTGTGTCTAACGTTCACCTGTTCTATTTCGACGCATTGCAATCTGTTTTCCAAGTATGACTTTAGCCAATCGTGAGCAGGTCCTCTTATTCCAATTCTCAAAGTAGCTATTGCTCGCGGATTCACTCGGTGAAATTCAGTTTGTCAGAAAGACCGACTTACATCGTTGTGTGACCAATTAATTCAATATTATGTTAGGTATATGCGGAAGCAACTCTGTATGTCTGTCTGTCTGTCTTGCTTTCACGCCTAAACCACTGAACCGATTTTGATGAAATTTGGCATAGAGATAGTTTGGGTCCCGGTAAAGGACATAGGATAGTTTATATCCCGGTTTTTAAAACTGGTACGCGCGCGATAAAGTTTTTCTGTGACAGACAAAATTCCACGCGGGCGAAGCCGCGGGCGGAAAGCTAGTAAACAATAACAGAAAATCTGCTCTAGGTATAGTTATTGCGTGAAAAAGAACCTAACATTCATCCTCACAAACTTTCTCATTTATAAGAAAGCTTTCGCTGCTAAAATAAGTATTTTATTAAAGTTCAAAAATAGCAACTTAGGCACAAATACTAATTGCTTATGTACCGTCAAAATGTAGTAAGTACCTACCTACTTTCGTTTCTGCTTATGATGATTTATCAGATTTGTAATTTGGGTAAAAATAATGTAGAGTATTTATTCCAGACAGTATAGCCGTGCACAAATTAATGAATTAGTTACAGTTAAATAATAATAGTTTATTTCATGAAACATTCAAACGGATATCTCATTTCAGTTGATGGTCGCTTCGTTATACATTACATTCTGCCAAATATCAATTTCGTTGAAAAGGGTAAGGGGAAAACAGGAAATCATAAAATTTTCAGTTTTTATGAATAAGGGTGATCGTTTTTAACTGTATTTATTATTGATACACGTGCATTTGTATCTTACACGTGTATCAATTTCTCAGTAGCAACTCGTTCACGTTTTTCATTTACCAGCACGTGTCTAAGGCCGCTAGTACACGCTAAGAAAAGTCGCCGGGCATACGCAAGAATTTTTGTCGTTTCTACACACTAACCGTGTACCTAGATTCCAGCGCTGATCAAGTTTGCACCGCCTCACGGTGATCAATAATGAGATATTAGGTGGATAATATTTAAATTTGACATTGTGAGGGTAGTTAAAACAAATCATCGCGATGTGATTGGGGGTACTTACCTCATATTCTTGTTGAATATGAACGTTTAAAGGTAAGTCATTACTGAGATACCAGCTTGTAAATGCAGTGCTCTCGCTAATTTGTACTGATTTGTTCTATTTACTTCCTGTTTTCGCGCACAGTTATCTGTTTGGTTTGACTTATACAGTGCATTATTGCGTATTATGAAATATGGTGCACATTAATGAAGGTATATACTTCATTTTCTATAACACTTAGTAACTGTTCATTGTTATAGTAATTTGGAAAAAATATTCAAAACTTAGCTTAAAATTTTAGGTATTTTATTTTATTTTAAAGCCTGTATCTTACAAGGAACATATTAGAACATGGAAATTTTGGTACTGGTAGATAGCTGGAAGTCTGTATTATGGTATTCAATAAAAAAAATTACCCCAAACTACCCCTGCCTGAACAAACTTTTCATTTTTGCAGGAAACGAAAGTACAGTTAGAAATTCAGATTTATTTAAAAACCTCAAAAAACTTCCTCCAATTAAACCTGCAACTAAGCAATCTAAAGATATATTATTAAACTATGTCTATGAGGTCGTAAGAGTATCAGATTTGATAACACAAGAGCGAAATGAGTTACGAAATTCAAAAAATAGCTTTTGTTTGTCAGCTTCTAGAAATTGATTAAAATCGGCAAAGATATCTCTCAATTTGAAAAAAAATATGAGAATTAGTTGTGTAAATGCATAATAACATCTGAAGATCATTATTGAACAGCCTTCACCTTCAGGGTCTGTAGGTAGAGGACGCCCGAAAAAGGCTTTCATCGATTTAGGTGACAGAACTAAGCGTAGTAGATTAAAAGACGAAGTATCATCCAAAAGTGAAGAATAGTTATTGTGCTTAGCAGCCAAGATGAAACTTCATTCAGTCGGAAAACGTAGGGCTGCCTCAGCACTTCATAACCTTTCATCATCATCTCCTGAATTTACTGTTAAGTCACGAGGCAGTCTACAGAATNCGCAGATTCTACATAAGCGAAGTATGCGGTGATAGCCGTCTTTTTACTAGGTACCTAGCTGTTCTATTCTATAATTAGGTACTTGTTATGGATATTATAATGATATTATTGTGCAGGAGATCTGTGTATAGGTCGGACAAGTTGGAATTTCGGTGATTTTCATATTTAAAAATTAAGTCCACCATAAAAATGACAATACGCTTAACAGTGAGTCTATTTTTAATTGCATGACCACTAACAAAATTCAAAAAAAGTATTTTCTTTACTTCGGATTAACAGAAAAAGTGATCACTATTTACTGAACGTTATGAAGAAGTATTAATAAGTTTGTTTATCTTACTTCTAGGAAAAATCTATTCAGTAACATATCAAGCTCGGAATGAGATCTAATTTCGCTGTTTCTGAGATCGAATTTTTGCCAACGTTCGCTTACGCAATTAATTCAATACAATTGCTACGCACACGCACGTTATACTCAATCTAACACAATTTTTTCTATCTAAACTTGCTTAACTGTAACGAGATAAAAATCCAATTGTTAGAACAAAGACGGTGCCACAGTAAATAGAGGGCAGTAGGTTCACTCCTCAGTTAGCGCTGAAATATCAGGTAGCGCCATCTAGTTTGTAATAAAAAAATATTATTTTGCACGCTGACCAGAACATAGGATTTGAGAGCTAAATGTAGGTAAATAATTTGAAAATTTGGGCTCCATTGGCAGTTATAGCCTGACCAGGAACATAAAAACCCTGGCATAAAGGCGCGTCAATTGCATTTGATAGTGCAACACTGAGTACAGTCGTACCTGTGTTAAATTAATAG